ATTCCATCCATTGCAGTAACCCACTTGTAACCTACTGTACAGCAGAGCGACATCCACGACTTACCCGCTTTTTATTCTTTATCATTTTTTATTTTCCCTGCACTTTTTTAAAAACTTCTGGGAATTTTAWTTTTTAAACTCTTAAATGCAACAACTAAATTCACTTTTCTACTGGAAAAGCTTCTTAAGTTAAAAATAAAAAACACATTATTGTAAAACCAATATATTCATTGTTCAGTATTTAAAATATTGAATTTAAAATGTAAATGTCAAATGTTGAATGAAAACTGATAAAATTATTTATCAATGTGATAACTGAATTTACTCATTTGTACATAGTAATTCATTCTACTGWCAGATGACAGTAAATAATAGTTAAATTGAGGAACTGCCTACATTAAATATTAATAGATGCCCATAAATCATACAATTTTAATACTCTATCATATAATAAAGTGATACGAGTACATAATTTTTACTTTTCACWTCATAACGAAATAAGTAAGCAATGTAGACCACTATTCACTAATTGTTCTGTTGGAATTACACCATTTAAAAATGCAAGCTACATCAAACATAAAATATTCCACATGCCTATGAATTTAGGTTAATACTTTAAACAAAGATTCAAAATTTCTATATTTTAGAGTACTTGGAATAATTCAATTCCTGGAGAATGTGATGAATTGCCATTGATATCAGAACTGCGGTTACAACCTAATCAAAACTCTATACAATAAATATTTTTTTATGTTTAACTATTCATATGTTATATTAATGATATAATTTTAAATTTATGATGTTGAATTTTAATATTTTATTCTTATAAGCTAAGACAGTTTTGTAAAGAAAACATAATATATTAGAAAGTTAAGTATTTTTATTACAATTATATATACATTTTTTTTTATCATGCCCAGTTATATTTTATTTTTATATAAAAACAAAAAATAAACACATTTTTCTTTTAGATAAATATATCTGGTAAGTCAGTTCTTATTTCAGTGGTTTTATTTTAATCAACAGTAAAATTGTTGACACCAGCATTTGTTGTTTCTGTTTTACAAGCATGTAACATTGCAAAATTGAAATATACGTTTACTAATTCACATTTAATTTTGTTGTTTTTAGTATTTAATTGAATTCAACAATAATCAAATTTATAATAAACAACATTATTTATGATTTCATATCAGTTTTTAGTTGTAAAGCAAGTTTCAAATATGTGAAATATTATAATTTATATATAAAAATATTCTCAGGTCATAACTCGTTTTAAATTGAGAAAGGTCAAAAATTGTCTATTACATACACCGTTAAAAAGTAAGGAGACAATGTAGGCTCTGTTGATTTTATGATCTATGCTATTTTGGTTTTAAAATAATAGGGTCAACTGAATAAAACATGAATTGTATTATCATGACATGATTTTAATCTTTTGTACTAGGAATCAATAACACATTATACAAAACTTAATCTGCAGGTATTACATCTATACAATAAAATAATAGGGTCAACTGAATAAAACATGAATTGTATTATCATGACATGATTTTAATCTTTTGTACTAGGAATCAATAACACATTATACAAAACTTAATCTGCAGGTATTACATCTATACAATAAAATAGCCATAAAATATACTTAAGACAAGCAAGTGAAGAACTGGTTAATGTCATAATGTTATAATTTCATTTTGAATAATAACTAGATTAATTACGTTCATCTAATGTCTTAATAATTATTACTTTTTGAGAATACAAAAATCGAACAACTATTAGTTATTGTAATAACTTAATCTACATAAAATGTATTTAACAATGATTTGGTTTTAACGAAATGTGTACAATTATACATATTTATAATTTTATATACAGTATCGCTTGTCATTTAAAATATCAAGAATAGAGGATGAGGGAACTATTACTAAAGATCTTAAATTTTATTCAGTCTTATTTCACGACAAAAAAAAAAAAAGTTACATTAACATTTTGAATGTAGAAAGGCACAGTTCGAAGTTTTGCAGAAACCTTGTTTTGCATAATATTTACATAAACGACCACCTGCTCTTCCGTTGCCAGGATGGCCGCCTCTTCGATTGTATGGACCTCCTCTACTACCTCGTTGATTATTACGGTTCATTTTGCCTCGATACGAGTCGTAATTACCACCTCTAGGATTGTCCCATCTAGTATGACCACGGCCGCCACTGCCCCTTTCAAAATGTGGTGGACCGTTGTTAGGAGGTTGTTGTTGGCCCCAGTGTTGATCATGTTGCATTTGAGGCCCAGGTGGACCCATCCATTGATCTTCTTGAACATGTGGAGGATGATGTTGTTGTTGTTGTTGTTGTTGTTGTTGTTGTAGTGGTTGCTGTTGCTGTTGCTGTTGCTGCTGCTGTTGCTGTTGCAGTGATAAGGTTTGAGGTTGTTGTGGCATCTGATCGCCTATAAACATCTGATTATTCATCATAATCTGGTTAGGGGGAATGTACATATTGTTTGCCGGAGGACCCATTCCCATCATATTTTCATGTGGCATACCCCAGTTCATTTGATTGCCACTAAACACAGGGAATTGAGGTTGTGGTATCATCATATTGGGCATAGGCATCACATTGTTCATTCCAATAGGAAACTCTACAGTGGGAGGTTGATCACCTTTAGATTCTGGCCAAGTCATGCTAACATAATTGTAAATAGGGGCTGTATCTCCTGACATRTCTTCCAATGGAATGTTTAGTGGTTCAGAGTATGGTACTATTTCCATTTGATCTGGTTCTTCTGGTGAATCTGGTATCCTGTATAATATAATAGGGTTAATAATATACTATTGTGGTGGTTTAAAATTAATATAATATACTTACATATTTCTTGTAAAGTAAATAGCTTGCAAAACTGATTGTTCTCTAAGAGTCTGTTTCTTTTTTTCTTGACTGCCACTACCAGGTTCAATTTTTTCTTTACCAAGCTCTTCTTGTAAGTCAACTAACAAGCTATCATCTAAATACCGCCAAGAAGTCTTTGGCTCCATATTATCAGCAGCATCTAAGTAAATGTATTTGTTAGTATGAATCTTTCAATATTTTGATATAAAATGTAATTTATTTTTTATTTGACTCTTACTTAATTTTCGAACAGCAATGAAATTTTGTCTCTCAACATCTCGTTCATGCATTTCCATAGCTTTAAAATTCTTTGTAACATTTACTAAAACAATTAAAAGTATAATAAATTAATTATTTTTTCTATTTTAAGTAAATTGCTCATAGAAACATTCCTAGTTTAAATTAACCAATATCAGATATTGCTGATGAATAAACATATCAACTTTAAACTGAAGTCAATGGTTAAGTTAATGGTATAGAATCTATTATATAGATAATCGGAATATATAGATAATCGGAATATATAGATGTGCTTATCAATTAAGGTATTATTTAGTGGGTGCATTGCACTTTGTACACACWGGCRCATATGATGAATTTAAATGGGAGGAGGGCTGGCAATAGTCAATCATGTTTCAGATAGGCACATAAAATATATTCTATAAAAGTAGAAAAAAAAAATCGCGGATTATTAGCACTCCGATATTCAATGATTATGAGATGACACTACATGAATTTAGTAAGGATTTACTTAAGAAAATATTACCAATACCTAACGAATAAGTAACAACTAAACAAAATTTTGTGTGGGTACAAAATGATGACACTTAAAAATAAAATAATAGCCATACCTCTTTCAGTTTCGTCGTGTTCAAAATAAGAAACTTTTACCAAATCGTTTTCTTGTTTCCACGAAACCGATTTCTTTGACGATTTATTTCTGACATACACCAAAACACTTCGCATACCACTTTTATTATCGTTGCAATTATTCGTAGTTGATTCGTCAATAGCTTTAAATACATTCAATATTATATTAAAACGCATAGAGGTAAAATTATTAAATAAATAATACTAGTCTACTCACGACTTTTGGCTTCGATTTTTTCCTCGGTTTCATTAGTATTGAGCGACTCGTTTGTAGAATCCAGTAAAGTGTCTCGATAAAACTGTACAAAATAAATGACAATGAGATTATATAAGACACATTATTAGTTCATTTTTCAAAAATGTTATTTACCTTTAGTTGTGGTGGCTTTTCAACTATCGGTTCAACATTTAACTCTGGTTCTGGATCAGGGGTCACATCATGGGAAGTAGTATTTTCCGCCGATAACGGTACGTAATCTGAAGACGTAATCGATTCTGAAAACGACTGTGACTCATCGGCGTTCGGCAAAGGTTGTGGTAAAACTAAAGAATCCAAATCCAACGTAGATGGTGAATGTACAGGAGATCTAGTTGGCGATGGTAACTCAGGTTTCACAGGTGACAATGGGTTGGCTGATGGGGGAGAGTCTTGGTTTTTTTTAACAGCGTCTGGTTTAGGTTTTCGTTTTTTGGTGACTTTTGGAGCCGAATTTAGAACATTCAACATAGCATCCATAAACAAACCACTCTCTTTAATTTTAGCTGAAAACAAAATAAAGCAATTCATAAGTTAATTTATATAAATAAAGAATTCTTTACCACATGTTTTATGTTATAAAAATAACATGGTTGATTCGTAGTTTTGGAGGACATAAAAGTTAAATTTGATATACGTTTTGATGTTCCAATTAGAAAACGTAAAATTATACGGTAGATATAACAGTAATGTACACAAAATAAAATTCGAGCAACTATGCAAACAGCAATAGGTACTTGATTTATTTGTCTCAAATAAACGATTTGTAAAAACAATTTCACAGTCACTGGTTTGTTGTTAAAAATTTAGTTCTCTTTAGTTCAAATTAAAAAAAATATATACATCATATTCAATACATTAAAAATAATATTTATATGGAAAGKAGAAATATGTTGATAAATTAACACAATTCACGTTWAAATATAAAATTCTTTATTCACACATTTTACAATGTAATAAGTAAAAACATTATTTTTACCATCAATAAAATAAAATAATAACTTATACTAGTATAACAATACAACGTCCAAAAAAACATGTCCATACATTTTCATTTTATAAAATGTATAGTAGTTATAAATGGGTAATTTATTTTTAGATACCTAAATAGTAGTATATGTTTATTTTTAACCATCATCAAAATTGAACATCAACATATTTAAGAGACGCTACACATYCATTTGTTGTCTTTGTCTTACAAGTGCACAACATACCAAATTTACGCTGAGCAGATCACGTTTAGCTCCGTTAGTTTAAAAATTAGAATGAATCAACCTATCATGAAACTTGATGTTAAGAACATTATATTATGTGTTTGTATGTGGGTTTTTACGATAGGTAGTTCAATTTTATAGTGCGTATATATAAAAAAAGCGTAAATTAAAAATACTCATAACACACTTAAAAACAAAGTTATCATAAAACCCCACATACAAACACAGATAATGTTTTTACTATCAAGTTTCATAATAGGTCAATTTACTATAATTTTTAAAAAAAGGGAATTAAACGTGATCTGCTAAGCGTAAATTTGCCATGTAACGCACTTGTAAGATGGAGACAGTACATATTATGTGTGTAGCGTTATCTTAGGTAACGAACAATACAACATCATATAAAATCAATGTAGTCAAATGCAGATGAATGYGTAATTAATTAACTATTGTTGCTAAAACCTGGATATTATATTATTAAGTAATTATGTTTGGTTAGATTTCTCCATCGTGTGATAATATTACTAACAATATTTTTCTTTATTTAAAATATGACATTAATTTACAAACATTAAATCT